GACACCATCCCAGGTGTGTGGTTGAGGCCATCCCCGACACCATCCCAGGTGTGTGGTTGAGGCCATCCCCGACACCATCCCAGGGACCTTTGCTCCTGGCCTCAACCACAAGCCTGGAGAGACCCTTCAGCTCCATCACAGACGGCTGAGAGTAAGCAGAGCCTTCAAGTAGGGAATACTATTTCCTAAGAGCAGAGCTGACTACTCTGCATGTTCTTGCCCTTTTAATTCCAGAAAGGATGAGTCACTAATTGATGGAAAAGCCAGATTTAGGAATTCTGAATGGGACTCATAGCCTGGCGACATGCATACATATACATGGCACTACCACTGCACTTGGGACAGAGGAGGGGACCTGACATCATCAAGAGCATGACCTGGGATCACCACAGCAAGTCGTTCTAGGCTTCCAGCCCTTGTCTTCCCATGAGACGAGCAGGAGACCAGGCTATCCTACACGGCTGGTTCACACGGGGAAGGGACTTGTCCAAAATGTGGGTGCAGCCTGGGCCTCCCTCAGCCTCCAGCCAGGCTTCAAGTCCCAGAGCCCATCCACGTGGACATGAGAATGCATCAGAACAGAAGAGACTCTCACCGTGCGGACGCCAGTCACTGTTTTCCTGACTTATGTGTATGTGGGTGCCTGCTTGTCTGTATGTGCACTGCACACCAGCAGTGTCTGTGGAACTGGAGTTAACAGGCAGCTGTGGACCACTTGATGTGAGTACCAGAAACCAAACCCAGGTCCTCAGCCAGTGCTCCTGATGAGCAGTCTCCCCAGCCCTTCCGCTTCCTTCCTTAGAGACTCCGATAGAGCCCACCCAAAGTTCCCCTTAAACATGCCCTCCAACCTCCACATTCCCCACAGAGACCCCTGAAGTCACCCCTAGACCCTCCCCCATGTAGAGAACCCCAAAGTTCCCCCTCAGACCCTCTCTTCCACAGACCTTCACAGAATCCTCCATAAAGACCTCTGAAGTTTCCTGCAATCTTCAGCACACCCCTCCTCAGAGAGCCCTTATCTTTCATAGACACCCTCGCAGTCACTCTGACTGACAAGCCCTCTAGACTGGCCACAGATCTCCACAGAAGTGCAGAGAATTGTTCAGTGCTCACACAGAGACTTCTGATCAACATGGAAACACAGTAACATCCACAATACACAGAAATAGCACACGAACTTCAGAGTCTGCAGAGATCTCACAGAAACCCTTACAGACAGGCTCGTGTCCCCACGGCAGCCACACCACATGAGGACTGGCAAATGCTAACATCCAATCTAGGAAAGGTGGCCACCAGGACCTCTTGATTCTGACTTCACTTGCTCCAGCGATCTGCCCTCATCTGGGGTGAGGATGTCAAAGCATTTGCTCCCTTGGCTCAGGACTTGGACTCCCCACTACCTGCTCACTGACGCCTGAATGCTCTTTACCAGTCCTCAGCAGCGGTCATATGACCCCAGGATGCTCCTCAGCTTGGGGATCCTTCTGAAGCTTTGGAATAAGCACCCCACACACTTCCCTTATATTCCTGTGGTAACCTGACACCAGGGACATTTTACACACCATTTTCAGTGTCACAGAGAGCTCAGAGAGAAGCATTTTCAGGTTGTGTGCACTCTGGTCCCTAGAGTGAGGTAAACATTAGTGTTTTGAACTTCCCTTGCTTCAGCTACAAAATGAGGTGGGGGTGGGGGTGAGTGTTAATATTCCACGAAGGGGAAGGAGTTGCCATACTGGACCGCTGTTAGCCATCTGGATGTCTTTGTCTCTTTGCTATGCAATGTCTCTTTGTTATGCAATGTCACCAAGCGATTTTCCCTTGCTAAACCATGATACAAAAGGGTTTTCCGATAAAACCATGCAATGTCATTTTAGCACAAAAGTTAGCGTTTATATCTATTAGAGAGTCACATACACACGACAAAATGATTTGAATAATCTTTCAGGTCATTTTTTTTCCTGTCACTTCCTGTCACACGGCATGCAGAGGGCTTCAAGCTTCTGTAACTTCCTCCGATGGTAAAGGTCTCATCTACAACCCCAAAGCCATTGCAGTTTTGACCCTGAAAACATGGGCCTCACGGGGTTCGGTCCCTCCAAACCGTCTTTCTCCACCCAGCTGGTGCACATCTGCCCCCCGGGTGGGGTCCGGGCTCCCCTGACTTACCTGCTGACATCCATGTAAGGCAGGTCAGCTGCCATGTCCAGGATCTGACGGCTGTGACAACAGCGTGCCCGCTCCTACAGTGGCTGAAGGCTACCGAGGCACTGAGAGGAAAATGTCTTCTCTGTCCAGATGTGAGTCCTCAAGCCTCAGCCTGGCTGGCAGCAGCTGCGCACTGCTCCATTCCATTTCCTGTGTTGATGTAGCTCACCCTTCCTCCCTGACCTGGGCCTCCCACCACCTTGGGATGAAAAGAGGAAAAGAAATTGGAGGCCTGCACCTTTCCAGGAGCCCACAGGGGGCAGTGTAGAGCCTGAGTTGGCCGGGTCCCTTTGGCTTTCCCTGCCCCTTCAAGGCATTGGCTGCCTGCACTCCCCTACCAACCTCCTCCACTTTATGGTCCCCATATCCCCCTCCATTCCTCTCTTGTGCTGAACTCTGCTGCCCCCATCTCCCCGATGTCAGATGCTGAAGGACTCTCAGGCCTGGCTACAACCTAGCAATGTGAGAGTGAAGCCAGAGGCCCCCGATGCCGTGGCTTCTATATCGTCAAGCGATTCAGTTTCCCATGCAAGTCCCAGCAGCCCCGTCACCTCTGAGTTCCCTGCAAAAGCCATGGAGGACACAGACAGGTTCTCTGCTGGTGCCTGGGTGGGGATCCTTAGAGGAAAGCAGACAGTGATTACATTAACAAGGTCCCGGACCTGTTCTACCTCCAGCTGCAACCCCGTCAGTTAAACAGCCAAAGAGCCACAAACCGTTTAGAAACAGCCTGATTGGCTGCAGGCAGCATGCGGGCACCATGTGATCCACCGGTAGCCTGTGACTGGATAGAACTTCATTTCTGTGACTGGCTGGAATTCCATTGCTGTGATTGATAGATACTCAATTGCTTGGTTATAAGGTTAAGCTACAGTTTGTTCATACAGAAAAGGAGGTTACACTTCTCTCTGTATGGTGGCCATACAGGACAAGCCTCATCAGCTCTTCTACGGGTTTTGTCCAAACTTGAGTTCAACAGTCCCCTTTTGCTCGCCCTTCCATTAGAAAGAAAGATCGGAAGTATGGGCATGGATGGGCCCTGCCGCCGTCTGCCAGGATCTAAATGAACCTTACGGATCCTTACCGAGTTCACAGTTCACAATGCCAGACTAGCAGCACTCTTGAAGAGTTACTTTCTTTGGCATCCTGACCACGGAGGCGCGGTTGGTGGGAAAGAAGAACGACGGTTTGTTCAACAGTTGAGGGGATATAAGTGCTGATATTCAAGTGCTGACATCCAAGTGCTGACATCCAAGTGCTGGCATTCGTTCTTCCTCAGACGCCTCTACGAGGTACGTGGAGCAAAGCTGTGCAGCGCGAGGGTAGGCCTCAGAGGCAACTCAGCAGCTCCCGAGCCCCACGCTCACAGTCTGGGGATGGATTCCGTGCTGCAGGGTAACTGACCTAGAGAGGTGCTCATCCCTGTAGGCCACCCAGCCACAGGCATCATGGTGATCTGCAGACCAAGAAAAACACGAGACCGAGGAGTCCCTGCACAACAAGTTTGCCATCTCCATCCAGGATGCTGTGAACTGGACAACAAGCCACCAACATGCTACATGCAGAAAAGATGAAGGGTTTATGAGGCTGGACATCAAAGGGGGGGGGGGGTACAGAAAAAGAAAGAGTTTGCATAGCCTGTCTGTCTGTTTCTCTTCATCTCGCACACACGAATATGTAACGTTTGAGGAACCCTCGGCAAGCCGCATGCTCTAGTAAACGAGAGAGTACAGTGGTGGTCACAAAAGAAACTAATTTTGTACTCCGATGAAGTACTTAATCCAGGAACAAAGCAGGCGGAAGGCCACGCCCACTTTAAGCTTAACGTTTACAATCCTTAGACAACAGTTTTCCTCTCACATTTTCATTGCTATCATGGGACAATCTTACCATATAAGACATTTTTATTTTCTTAATCTTTTACCAAATATACCTCACACCTATAACCTTGATCTCTTGAAGTGATTAAACTTTGTTCCCAATTTTTATTTTAAAAAGATAATTTCATATAACCCAACAGGCTGTATCTAAAGCCCAGAAAGCATACATAATATCTTACATATCTAGTGGTTACAAATACAGGTAAAATACTTCAGTAGTTATATTTTTCTTAACTTATTAAAGATTTAAGTCACTTTGAAATTACTTTATTAAATTAAAAACTGATTTCTTATTAGGGTTTATGAGGCATCTGAATCCGGATGACTTTTTGCAGTATTTTGCTTTATTACTTTGAGCCTCCTGTTTGCCTTTATCTTAAGTATGTTAATCATCTAACAACTATTTTACTTAAACTAACTTTACCTTTTTGAAACTAAAAGCGTGTGTTCAGAGGAACTAGAGCTTTCTTTGGAATTCTCCTTCCAGCCCTGGGCTGCTGAGAAAGTTGGGGTTGGACCCAGAATGACCAAGGTCCTTACTGTAACCTGATTGATTGCCTAGAGAAGAAATTGGGACATTCCAAAGAAATACTGGTGTCTTTAACTTTGGCCATCAAGCTATTGAGCTAAAAGTTGAAATTTCCCCAGGTGGGAAGAGAAAAGATTGAAGCCCTGGGGCTGAACAATAAAGGAACTTGTCTGTTAGAAAATGTATTACCTGCAGGAGACATGGAATGGGGTAATGCTGAGTAGGGACCCACATCTTGGCCAAGTCACTAAATCATGTATATCTCTTGATTCATTTAAGCTTTACCCTTGAAGGAACTGCCTCCAGAATGATGCTCATGCTTTCCTTACCTGCGATAGATCATAAATCTTCTCCACTCCCTATGCCCCCTCTCTGCTTATCTGGGCTGATACTCACCAACATAAGAGCCCTTGTTGTCCAGTTACACTGTCTCCAAACAGAGTAGCAGCACACAACAGCTATGACAATGCTGTTATATGCGTTTGATGAGAAGCTGTGATCTCAGATGCACCTGGATGTGGCTCCTTCAAGACAAAAAAAAAAAAGCCCTTCAGATCAAGTGAGGAAGACACCATCTACCTGGATGAGGAAAGAGATGAATATATTAGGCAAATGGATATGCTTGCACAAAGTCTCATGCTACCCAAGACCAAGGTTTGCACCTTTGGTCAAGAACAGCAAACTTCTCAAATTGAATCTCCCTCCCTTCTACTACTTCCTGTGTGTCTTTCTAACCATCCCTCTGACTCTCTTTTATTCTTACTCTCTATGGTTTTTTACTTAATAATACTCTATTCACTTCCTATCAACTGATTGCTTGCTCTGTCTCTTGACCTATGGTTGACTTTATTTAATCCTATTTACAATATTCAAGCAGAAAGCTCTTGGATTAAAGGTGTGTGCTAGGGCTGAACCATACCACAACTAGAAGCAGGATTTTCCAGTAAATAATGCAATCTTGGGTTTCACAGTGTGATCAAATATCCTGCAACACTAATATAGTTAATTATAGGAAAAAACTTTATTTAGCCTCCTATATGAGTTTTCAAAGTTCAGCCTAGATTTGTTTAGCTCAGATATACTTATAGATAATGTTCCTCAAATATGTCAGAGATCTATTGAATATGGTATTTTAAATGTTTAATGGGAAAAGATTAGTATGACAGAGACCCCTAGCTCCTGGCAATGACTCTGACATTTCAAAAAATGATGACTGGGAACCACGATGACTCCACCTGGCTTGTGGTAGGTAACCACTGGGAAAGACTGCCCTGGTGCTGCAGCTGCTGCCAGGCTCTGGCTCAAACTGTGGACAAGGAGGACACTGGAGAGTTGATTGCCCTACTTTGCCTATACAAAGTAAGGTCAGCATCCCTACCTACCTGCCCCCCCCTCCCCCCGGCATGTTCCTCCTCCGCAGGAAAGCCTCTCACCTTCTGGGTCTGGAGGCCAAAGACTGATGCTGTCCTGATACGTCTGCCCTCAGCAATGTGGAGACCACAGGAGGCTGTGACGACCATCTGGGTAATGGACTAGTCTCTGCCATTTTAATTGATACACAGGCCATTTGGATTACACTTCCTGCTATAATTTATCCTTCTCAGATCTCTGATGGTATTGACAGCTAGGCTAACTATAGCTTTGTCAGCTTAGCAGCAGCAGGCAACCAGATCCTTCCTCAAGGCTACAGCTTCCTTGTTTACCAAAAGCAACAGGGATCCAGCCCCTATTGCTTTCTCCCAGGGTCCATAGAAGAATCTAACAACCAGCTGAGAATCTAAACGTAGGGATATTGAATGAATAGTTCATTCACTTTATTCTTCTAAATCAATTCTCTGAATGCTGTGGGGGGACTGGTATATATGCATTTACAAGCAGTAATACTTTGGCAAAGCAATGTGAGGCTTGAAGTTTTCAGGGTCCCAGAGAGAGGTGATAAGATCCCCACAAAAGCAATAATTGTCAGCTTCAAATAACAATCCAAAGGGGGAGTGACTAAAATGGAGTTCTCTGGTAGGGTCAACTAAAGGCTAAGATCAATTGGGCAATTAGGGAATTCTAAAAAGGAATTTGTGTACTCAAACTATAATCTAGAAGTGGTTAGGTAAAATGTTAGGAGTCTATAAGGTACTATAGTATAAGTCACTAATAAAATAAAACTGTTATTCTTAGGTGGCACATTCCCTCCCTGCCCCATAGGGCAGGGGACATATGCTTGGTTGCTAGGCAACCTGCATCAAAGTGTGTAGCATTTGGTTAGTAAAAGCACTTTCTCTCTGAGTAATTGCTAAGGAGGGAATCTAGGAATAGCACCTGGCTGAGATAAAGAAGGGAGGATTAAAGCTTAATTTGCACAAGAAACCAAGCTTGGCACCTATCATTTGCCTGGCCTTGTTGATAGTCTCCTTGGGTCAGTGGGAACAATTACCTTTATTCAGTAACTAGCACATGGCCAAAACATCATTCCAGAATTGTAAGCAGCAAATCTCTTAAATTAGGGCCTTGTATAGATAAACTGGGATGAAGGTAAGGAGTTGAGGATTTAATTGTTCGTGGTTATTTTTCCTCTATTTGTGGGTAAGATGAGCTAATGTTTATCTATGTGGTGTTTGTCCTTGGATAAAAAGTATCTTTGTTGAAATACTTTTGTCCAGAGAATGGCCCTGGCCAGATGTATGCTAATGAAGAATAAACACAGCTGGGGAAAGTTATCCAGTTACTTCAAATGTGTAGGGGAAGTTGTACCCAATAAATGATCAATCACACTGTTATAAGTTCTTGAGGGAAGAGTTGAATGAGGAAACTACAATAGCACACAAGAAATTCACTGCAGGATACAGCTAATACATTCAAAAGCCAATATCACCAGGATTCCCTGAGTCTTGGCTTCCTCTGAAAAGTCTGTAACTTTTTCCAGGCAATAGCTTTGCCAATTCCTACCTCATATTTTTGTGACTCACTGGACTTGTTAGCTCATTTTATAAGTAAAAATCAAGCCTTGCTTTTTCTTCAGACAGTTTCATCAGAAACAATTTCTACAGACAGTTTTGCCTTGCTAATAGTCTTCATATTAAAGATTTTAAAGATAGCTTTCCACTAAAGGAACATGAATTTCACTGACTGTTCTCAGTAATAACTACTTGTGTCTCTGATAAATGATTATATGGAAAGAAAAGGGTTAAATTCTATGCAAGTTTTGAAGATCTAAAAAAATGTTTTAAGATACATAAAGGTCTGAGGATGTAAAAGCTTAAGTAAGTCCTGAGGGTCTCAGAAAATGATTTCAGATTTATAAATGCAGGTTGTAAAGGTATGAATAAGTGATTTAATGTAGGTGAAAAAAGGAAAATATTTCAGATTTCTTTCCCCCTACTATGGAGATGGTAGAGCACTGACTACTTACTGTTCAGTCATGAGCTCAAGATTTTAAATTTCTTTTGTCATCTGCTAAATATAGACTTAAAGGTACTTTTCATCAGGCTAAAACATATATCTGGCTCTCTGGACTGGAACAAATGTTCATGCTTTTAAACCCAAATCTATATCTTTTGTTAGGACTCAAAGGTGTGAGTCTACTCCAGCTGTTTTACAGACACCTGTTATTGCTTTTTCTACAATGTGAAATTCAGTACAGATTGGTAATGCTAATATATCTGAAACTTTTATGTCTTTTTTGTAAGCTCCAGAGAATCTAGGGAGTCATAAGACTTGGATCTACCTCTCACAGGCATAAAGGAATCCAGATAATTACAGCCTAAGTTTCCCCACCTGTCTATTCCCGAGGGTGGGGTTCCCCCCCCCTTAGTCTTGGGACTACCCCCCTCCCCAACTACTAAGACTATGAGCCTAGAAGTTCCATATGTAATATTTTCCTTTTAGTTCCTAAGTTTTAACTCTGTCCCTAGTCTATATCTGTCTCAGCAGATTTTCACTTGACTGACAGACACCATTCAAGCATCCAACCTGCTCCAAATGACTGCAAGCCCTGGAGTTGCTGAAAGCTGATGTGGACCAGTCCAGCTGATGTGATTCCTCCCTGTCTCTTCAGCTGGGTCAGTGAACCAGATGCTTCTGATGAATGCCTCATTGCCTGAGTCCCCTCCTGGCCTTTGACTAGCATTTAAGCCTCCTGAGTCTTGAAACAATGTCCTTGTCTTAGCAGGAAGCAGTTACAGAAGAGAGTATGTCATCCTCTTGTCCCCCAACAGGCTGGAATGTTAGATCAAAAGGAAACTCCCTGACATAGGGAACAAAATGGCTATCTATAGTGCCTATTGGCATATCAGGAAAAGTACCTTTTAAAACCAAGTAGACCCAGATCTATCAACAAGTAGATTCATTAACTGGAATAGTTCTACAATATGTTAGGGCACTCAACTTCTCTATGTAATAAAGAGATTATTGTATGGCTTTAAGAGAAAAATTGTTTTTATATAAACCACTCAGGAATTGTTAGAGATAATCTGGCTGTACTCAAAAAAGCATTGCAAAAAGGGGGACCCGAAATGAAATAAATAACTAGACCCCATTCTCATTTCTAGGCTCCTTCTAGATATTAACTCTGATGTCAGCTATCATAGGGCCTTTGTCCCTTCTGTTTCTGATAATTGCTGTTGGCTTTTACATCATTGATGCCCTAAGTAAATGATAATTCCTGTCTAGATACCATCAAGCTGATGTTTATTAGATCCCAATGTAAACAGGTACCTATCACATAGTCAAGGATTTGCCTCAGCATAAGACTCAAGTAGGAATGTGAGAGCCAAAGTTACATTTTAAGTCTTAATTACTGTGCCTAAGAGATCCATGAATCAAAAATGCCTCTGATAAATGCAAGCCCCTTGCCCAAGGACAGATAGTTCCTGAAATGCTAGAGGCTACTGTTTATGGTAAAAGACCCCCACTCCATTATGAGGACATGGGGCGTTGGGCCGATGAAATGCACCCCCCCCAGTCCCAATAACTTAGCCTAAAAAACACCATTTTAAAGGAATCAGAAAAACAGGAGTTCACAGCCGTAGCCAGCCACCTGGCCTTGAAAGAGATAACTGTGGTCGGCGGCCTTGGGAGAAAGACAGTTGAGTTATATCAGGATATTTTATGGCGGGCCCCTGGCCTTGAGGAATAAGCGGCTGGGCTGGAAAAACACCCACTATACATACCCTGGGCACGGCCAAGTCAGCCACACACATACGACCCCAAGTTCACCCTGGCCTTCTTTGAAACAACCAATAGGGACCCTGTAACTATGCTTCTCGCTTCTGTAACCGCGCCTCTGCCCCTGGGATCCCATAAAAAGTCCCCCTTAGCCCTAGGAAAGCGCGCAAGTCCTCCAAGAGACTTCGCCCCAGGTACCTGGTCTAAATAAACCCTCTTGCTTTTGCATCTGATCTGTGGTTTCGGTGTGTTCCTTGGGTTTGGGGTCTCTCCCGGAGGAAGATCTCCCCTGGGGGTCTTTCAATGGAAGATAACAAGCCACATGTTTTCACTACCCTAAACAAGTTGTTTGACCTATCTGTACTGGACATACTTGATCATACATAGGCAGGAAGTATGTCAGAATGTACTCTTATCCCTGAATGGACATAGGCAGGAGGTATGCAGGCAGGAAGTACATCAGAACATATGCTTGTCCCTCCCTGATTGAACCTGTGGGCAATGTATTGAATTATGGATTTCGCCTTCTTAAGCCCCTGCAAAATGTGACTTCGGGTCATTTTCTAGGAAATCAGAGATGGACCTAGCCAGACAGTCCACCATTAAAGCGTGCTTCAAATTTGGTGTTAAACTGTGGTAGTGATCTTATTCTCAACTGGTGGGATTGACATTGGCTCCTGCACAGAGCTGACCAGATCACTGCAGAGATGAAGCCCTTTGCACTGGCAAGTAAAGTTGCCTCAGTGCAGAAGGAGAATTATCTGATCCTAACTGTGAGTTGTGCTGGCTGGGTCCACCATCCTGAAATACTGTCAGTGCTGCCTAGCTCCTGGTAGCCTGATCAGTTGTCTGAAGAGGTTTGAGGGGTTCTTGAAGGAATTTCTATGAGCTGATGGAGGGCTTAAAAACGTTTGGTATAACTCTCTTATTTTGAATATCAGGAAAATGAAGCCAGCACTTTAAAGGTACTGGTTGTAAATTAAACCACAAGGAGAAAATGTGGTGATATTTTGTTTGTGCTCTAACAAGTAAAGCTTGCCTGAAGATCAGAGGGCGGAGCTAGCCATTAGCTAACCTTAGAGATCTGGAGGTCTGTATAGACAACAGACAGGAAGTGATGTGGCTGGGTGGGGAAAGGAAGTGATAAGATGGGGTGGAGACAGGAGCTCGGCCTGTTTCAGTCTGAGGATTCCTAGAGGTAAGAAGTCTTTCTAGTGGCTGGCTGCTCTGCTTCCCTGATCTTTCACCTTTCACGCTGATATCTGACTTCAGGTTTTTATTATTAAGACCAATTAGAATTTGTAATACAAGAAAAGAATATTGTGTGCAGTCTTAGCAGTTCTCTCAGGTCAGTGATGTATATACATGCTTGAAAATATTACAAAAGGATGTAAACATCTTGAGAACTTGCAAGAGGGATGTAGCAGTGCCCAGGAGCCAGAAAAAGGAAGGAAAGGATTAAAATTGACAGCTCTAGGCTGCCAGGGCAGAGGTTGCTCTAAGCAGCTCTATACATTTGTGGTCTGACTTTCCTGGGTTCTCAAGAAAAATTGACATGTGACAGGGAGTAGGATTCTGATGCTCTAACATGGTGGAACTGGGCTCACCAAGAGTGAAGAATTGGATACCCTAGGTTATGCTGCAGACGACATGCTTATGGGTTTCAGAAGATAGTCATAAATACAACATAGGAACCCTAGCTAGAAGTGTCAAAGCCGAAGATCTGGTGTGGAATAGCTCCCGAAAGTAGATGGCCATGGTAGGGTGTATGTGGGAGTAGGGATCCTGACTAAGAAAGATAAATGCAGGAATGTTTCTGATGTACTTGGAATTGGAAGTTGTAGGTTTCTCTTAAGGAGAAGTGAAGGGTCATTGCTGGGGGATGTCTTTCTGTATGCTGTGAATGTATGTTGTTCCCATTGGTTTCACTTTAGTGAAAGTTTAAGTGGGTTCCTGAACCGCATTACCAAGCAAATGAATCCCAACATCAGGTGAAGGTCAATAAACAGCCCAAGCATCACTCTTGCACCATGCATTTTATTTACTAAGTAGCAACATGGAAGAAGCTTAAAGACTCCTCAAAGAGCCCACAACAGGGAGCTCAGGGCCCATCCCACTGAGCTTCTTATGCAGCTCAGAGGGCTGTGTTCTTTGTGCCTGGCCTTCTAGTCACCAACTATTGGAATTCAGAGGTATGTGGCTGTGAAACAGAAACATCTAGACAAGAACATTGAGTTGGGAAGGGCCCTGTTGGGAAGGTTTTGGGCGAAATTGGAGGCAGGAAATAGGAGCAGACATAATTCTATTTGATTGTATATATGAATTCAAGAATTAGGAAAATTAAATTTTTTAAAACAGATTCATCACAGTGCAAAATAAAGTCCCCAGATCCCTGTCACCCCCGATGTGCCTTTCCACTGTGTATTCCTCTTGATTCCATCAGAAGGTGAAGGTTAGGAGCACTGATTGCTCTTACAGGATGGGTTCAGTGGCCGGCACTCACATGGTGGCTCACAACCAGTCCTCGGGGTTCTGACGCCCTCTTCTGGTGTCTGCGGGTACCAGGCACCCACATGGTGCACAGACATACATGTAGTCTAACACTCGTACACATAAATTATTTTTTAAGGTGACATTTAGAATTGGAGAAGTAGTTTCCCAGCACACGCAAAAACCAGCACACGAAAACACTAGTAACTTGCCTTTTCCACACAACTTTTGCCCTATCCCACTCAGACCTACCTATCTAGGAAATTTCTCTAACAAAAATATTCTAAGTTTGTATGTAAAGAGATTAAAACCACGATAAAAAAAAAAAAAAAGTCAAATTAACCGCTCTTGAAACATCTTGGTCTTCCATCAGCCTGGCCCTGCACAGCCTCCCTGGCAGGCCTCGGGTCCTCAGGTTTGGGGGCGCTCTGGACTCCAGCGAGGAGGTTTCAGGGACTGAAGGGCCTGCACTTTTTGGGGCTCTACAGTTTCATGCAGCAGTCGGGAGGGTGGCCAGGAGAAGAGCTCCAGGGACGACTAGGCCCGAAGCTAACAGCACTTGGTATCAGCTGGGATCCTGGGATCCGGCGAACTGGATCCTTGAGGAGTGCAGCTTCATTTGTGCGTGCTTGATCGCCTCCTGCGGAGGCATTGTCCCTGGCATGGGGATCCTTCACAGAGATACCATCCTGGCTCGAGACCGTGACCCTTTTGCAGAAGCCCAGAGCAGAGGAACCTCCCAAGTGGGCGGAGCCTTCTTGATTATTTGGGGCGGGGCTGCTGGAGGGAGGGCCGAGGGGTTGGGAAGGGGGTTGGGCTGGATACCGGGGGCGGGGCTTGTGTGAAGGGGCTGTGGCTATTGCGGGGGCGGGGCCAGCCTGCTCAGTTGGAGCCTCACGTGGAAGTGTTCTAGGGATCAGACGGTTGACCTCCCCTGATCTCATGGACATCAGTCGTTGAGTCTGGTGGTCACAGACTGCAGACGTTGGAGCTGCAGTTCCATCTGCCCTCTACTTTGCTGCTTCCACTGACTGCAGAGCTCAGCAAGGCTCAGTTCCTGTCTCCCTGACGGCCTCCTTGGTGTCCAAAGCACCCTGAACCTGTGTGGGTGGCCCCCGAGGGACACAGGGACCGAGGCCGGCCAGGGAGGCTGAGCCTGGTCAGGCTGGTGGAGGAAGAAAAGGCTTGAGGTAGTGAATGACTTTTTAAAATCGTGGGATTATTTATCATTGTGTTTATACTAAAAACTTTTAATGATTTTTTTTGTTTTGTTTCGTTTTGTTTTTGTTAGAGTTTATGCTCTAGACCAGCGGTTCTCAACCTGCGGGTCACAACCATCAGAAAACACGTATTTCTGATAATCTTAGGAACTGAGACACTGCTCAGTAGCAAAATTACAGTTTTGAAGTGGCAACGAAAATAATTTTATGGTTGGGGGTCACCACAACATGAGAAACTGTATGAAAAGGTCACATTAGGAAGGTTGAGAACCACTACCCTAGACAGACACCCATGGTGTGGGCAAAATGTAGCTCGTGGTAAAATGTGAGTTTGTGTTGCTTAGTATATATACAGAATGCAGAATCCTATGCTAGTTATTTCTAACCGCAGAATACCAGTTTTCAATTAGAATATGCCCATCCCTATTTGTGTGTGTGAGTTTATCTGAATAGTTCTTGTGTTGATGTGTAGGTAAGTTCAGCGGGCTGCTTGCCTGCCTGAAGCCATGTGGCATCACCAGAAGCACCAATGGGACAGAATTCACTGCTCCGTTCTCCTCGCTTTCACATCGTCCTCCCACGGCACACCCCTCCAGGCACCGAGGCCCTGGCAAAGTCAGGAGAATGCCAGGGAAGCCTGGCTACTGAACACTGCCCCCCAAATCTACAGCAACAGGTGTATAATTTCTTTTTATATTTGGAATTGATGTGCTTGAGAGATTGCGTTTTAAATTTTGACTTACTTTTGAGAGTCCCAGTCTTGCTGTGTCCAGGCTCACCTGGGCCTCGCTATGGAGCTCAGGCTAATCTTGAACTCTTGATCCTCCTGCCTCTACCTCAGGAGTCCTGGCATGGCAGGCTTGCCCCAGCCACACCTGGACAATGCACTAAGACTTGGTTGAGTGTTACAGCTCTGTTCATGACAGATGTGGGTTTGCTGCTCGGGGTATTTGTCTAATGCTGCTTTCAAAGAATGGGTCAGAAAGGATGCCATCTGCACAACTTCTGGACTCTGAGGTGATTGATTGTAGGGAATTGAGGGTGTTGTGCCCGTGTTGTGAGACCCCCGGAACAAGACCACCACAGAGCCGATAGCTGATGCAAAACACACAGGGGCTTATTGATAACAAGCAAGCCGGGGCTTGGTCTGCGTCTAACACTCCGATACAGCGGGTGGAGGAGGACGGCCCTGCGCTCTCAGGTGAGGGGTTTTTAAAGGGAAAAACCACAAGCAGGGTGGTACAAGTCTTTGTGTCATATGATTGGGTGAGGGTATGTAACCTTTGAATTTGCTGGTTGGGAGTTACAGTTAGCATTTTTGGGCAGGCCTGGACAAGTCCCAGGCTTTGTCCCTGAGCTGCCATGAAGGCTGGCTGGCCTCCCATGTTCACATTGACCCATGCACATAGCTCTAAGTTGGTGAGGGGTCCCAGACAGTAAACAATTGACTGAACCTTGAGCAGTCAGAATACATGCAGAAAGGGAGCTCCTGCAAGGACTGTGTCTTTTGTTCATGGCCCTCCCCAAAACTACTTGCTCAAGCCTCAGGAAACTGAAATTGAGGCCTGATCTCTGAGAGAAGACTGAGCAGCCTGTTAAGGTGTCTGCTTGGTCTTTTCAAGGACAGAAAGCTGTCCCAGGTTCAATCCCCAATATTGTCAAAATGAAAAAGTGGAGGATTGGAACAGTTTCTTCCCTAAATGTTTTGAGGAGTTTATCATAACTCTACACAGTACTTAAGGCCAGGCAGGCTAGTACACACCTATAGTCTCCAAAAGGAGGCAAAGGCAGGCAGATGAGTTTTAGACCAGCCTGTTCTACATAAAGAGGCCAGGCTAGTTAGGGTTATAATGAGACCCTGCCTCAGAAAAAAAATTTCTTTTTAAAAGTGGGGCCAGTAAGTTGCCTCAGCAGGTAAGGTGCTTGCCACCCAGCCTCATGATCTGAGTTCAGTTCCCAGTACCCACATGGTGGAAAGAAAGAGCATACTCTCACAAGTTATCTTCTGACCTCTACAGGCACACAGTAGCAAACATACTTCCATACATGTACACACACACACACCAGAGAGAGAGAGAGAGAGAGAGAGAGAGAGTTTTAATAGTCAAGTTTGTTGGCACCCAAAGCATGACACCCAAGGTTGACCTCTTGCCTCTACATACACACACATACAGATAAACCTTCATACACACAACACACGCATGCGCGCGCACATGTATACACACACACACACACACACACACACACACACACACACACAC